CGTTCTGCTCAGTGGGTGATTGTGGATGAGCCTCCAAAAAATTTCCCAAACCAGGTTTACACGTCACGAAGAAAATGATCACAGTTTGGTGAATTAATTCACTATGCGTTTCTTCTTCCAAGTCGAACCATCACCGCACAGCCCTATTGTGATCAAATTCACGAGAAGTTCACAAAACTGAGGTAAATGCAGCCAGCACTAGTCAATCGCCACGGTCTACTGCTCTTGCACGACAATGCATAACCGCATGTGTCACAAACTGCCTTCCAGAAGCTGAACGAGCTGGGAATAGACGCTCTCCCTCATCCATTCTACTCACCAGACCTGTCACCGACTGACTACCATTTGTTCAAACATCTGGGCAACTTAATAAAGGAACGAGTATTCAAAAATCAAGGTCACGTGGAAGCTACCTTTCTTGAGATCTTGGAATCCAGATCTCTGGACTTTTATAAGAATGGGATAAACAGACTTGTATCACGTTGGCGAAAATGTGTGGAATCGAATGGGGCTTATTTTGAATAAAAATGTTCACTTTGAGATGAGTTATAACTTTTTAAAAGTTAGCTGACAAAACGGCCAGAACTTTCCTTACAACCTAATATTTTTGTGACAGTTGTGTGCAAACCACAAATATGTGTCCTGATCCCTGATTGGGGGAGGGGGGGTCCACTGGATACAACAAAAGGAAATCCTCTTAGGATGAATTTCAGTCGAACCGACCATCACACAGCGAAGCTTTATGACGAATCGATAGGATGACGTATAGAGTTAAATGTTTCAGAAACAACTAACCTGGATCGCTAGCCAAATGCCAGGTGATGTCAACAAATAGCGGACCTCCCTCATTGAAACGGTCCAACCTGAAATTTGCCAAGAAGTAATAGCAAGTAATAGCAGAAAGCCGAAAAATCAGGGTTCCGCTTACCTGGTGAAGAAATTTGCCACTCCATTTGCTGTTTTAGGAGGGAAAAACTCTAATGAGAAAAATGGTGTTTTATCCTGAACTCGTCGATTAATTCGCTCATGAAGAGGGATGTATCTCCGACGCCCGACCTTCAAAAAATGGTTGAGAAACTGTTTAGGCTAGCTCTATATTTAGCATTTGCTACGGTCAATTAGTCTCGAAGACATGTGCTAGAAATCAACGCTTCTGTTAATGAATAGAGGCCGGAAATATGGCGTTAATACAAGGTCAACATGAAATTTTGGAACAAACTGGGAGACTTTCGAAAGAAATGATGCGATAAAAAGGACTTAAATCGATTCGTGGTCAATAGTTGTGAAAAAACCTTCGCACAGCTCTTAAGAGCTTCATCAATCTGAAAGAATTTCGGACCAACAAAAATAAAACCCACCTCAAATGTGAGATGTTCATCATCGCTACCACTTCGTTCATGTAAACTCGGATTGCTTCCTCTGAAATACGTACTTATTCTAATCGTATCGCTGATAAGACTGCTATCAATTACAACTCACCCAGCCATAAGTACACATGACATTCAGAGAAATTTGAAATAGGACTGACGTTTTATCAATAATTCAGCAGTAAATTAGCAATTTTATCCCATTTAGACAGAAGAAAAACTCCCCCAACTTTGAAAGCTCCGGAAAAAGGGGAGCAATTGAACTTGGTAAGCTGGGAAAGCTGTGAAAGATGGCAATGTATTGCGCTAACATCACGGAATATCGATTACCCCTAAAAGCAAAAAAAACCCCACTCAGTCATGGGACGGGACGTAAACAGCTTTTGCAAAGGTACAGAAAACGTTTGTGATAGAAATCAGTTTTTTGAACTTTTAGGGATCTTTTTTTTCTTAAAAAAATGCAAAATTAGTTTTGGACGAAAAGTCTACGACGAACGTTTACGACAACAAATGAATAACTAGCATTTCAGGACCATTTTTACATTGGATGTTCCCGACCATCATTTTATGTTTATTTAATTATTTATCAATTCATGGCATCACGCCTCTCAAGTACAATGTAAACAAAAACAGATAGTGACGACGCCAAAACCAAAAAGGAATGATAAGGCACTGGGCCTGACCGTAAAAAAATCACCAACAAAATACACCCTCGTCTTCTTTTTTTTATCCCTCTCAGTCACAATATGATTCATTCCGCCGCCTTTATTTGGGTAGGCGGTAAGTTCTTATCAGTGTAATCGCACTACGCTTATTTAATACAAGAAAACTAATTATAATTCACTTACACATAAGGAATGGCAGTCAGTGAATCAATCTTCTTTAGTGATCCATTTGTGTTAGCTCCATTTGAAATAGTATTTGGTTCAATGGCGTTAACCATTCTAAAGTGTCAAAAGGTTCGAATTTGTCATCAAAGAATTACGGTAAGAGTAAATTACGTACGATATTTAAAAATTACGAGTATGTAGAGAGGAAATGGAATGAAGCCAGCCGGCTACACGTGGCCGACACGTGAGCAACGTCGGTCAAGGACCAGGGAAGGGGACAGCCGGCTGGCATGTACGGCGGATAAGCATCGATCGGAGAAGAAGTGCACTCAATAAAGGAATTGTTAACTTATAGATTCACCTCTCTTTATAAAGTCCCATAGCACCCTGCTTCCTACCCAAAGGGCCGCATTGTATTCGGGAGAATTGACTGAATTAGGATGTAGCGAGAAAATGTAATCTAACAAGGCTGAGATACCAGTTTCTTCCGAACTTTCTTTCCCGTAACTGGCGAAACACTTGGCCAAGGGCATGGCTTCCCAAACGTGATAACTCAGAAATCATTTGATTAACATCATTCATGAACCTTAGGTTTCTGATGGGTCCAGGTCAGAGNAATTGTTCGAAAGCCAACATTTAAGGGAAAAATGCCCAGTCGGCATAAACCATAGAGCCAACAAATAACTGAGTCCCCCATTTCGGAGGCCTTCATATTAGCAACATTTCGTGGCCCTGCTTGGCCTATTTCTCAGGAATGCCATCATTCCATACCGATAGGTTCTACTTTGTTTAGGGTACAGCTTGATTAAAAGTATGCTAATCCAGGAGGATAAGTTGCTGGCGTCGACTGATGTAATCTATTGTGTAGGGCAAAATAGCCAATTACAGAGCACCATCTGAAAAGGAAATCGAGTGCATGGCGCGTTCCGTAATAGGATTGGTCAACGCCGAGCGAATAGAAATAAATCTTCAAAAAATTTTGCATCTGTTGGGTACAAAACTAGCTAAACCTCAAGTGAACTTTTCTAGAAACAGAAGTTGAGTAGTGTTGTACAGTTTTCGGGCACAGTTTTGGCGACAGTTGGCGGAGATATAGGGCGTGTTCAACAAACTCCACCAGTTTGATGAACACGGGAAAATTAGGACGCAAAGAAGAGAGGAGTAAAAGTGAGAACAGGATGAGTATGCTCGGGAAAATGGTCAGCAGTTTACCATGTGCTCGTACTAGTAGTAAGTGAAGCGGTTCGAGACTGTGGTAGAATATTGGCTTGGATGAAGTTGTCTCTGAATACCCATAAATCAGGGTTTGAACGCTTTTGGAAGCGGAATCAAAGAGAATCTGTTGTAAAACTTCCAGAGATAAAGCAGGAAACCCCACCTCCAGTTAATTTTCCGAATTAGTTCTCAAATCGGTTTTTGCTTGAGCCATGAAAACCTTCGCCGTGAAGGGGAGTGGGTTGGAAGACAATTCGAACCCAATGCTCTCACCCTATGCCGCAGAAGACTAGAGCGCAGTCGGAAGAACAGCGATTGATTTGGCTGGCATGCTGTGGAGCAGCTAATAGTGAGCCAGAACAGGGATATGGGTAGGTACGCTTCCCCGAATACACATGGTCGAAGCTGTGCAAAGAATGCTGAGTTCTTCAAATAGGGGAACTGTAGCTGAGAACTGTCCTGCTACCAACGATGGGTAAGGAAGCGCCTTTATATAGGTCGCCGCGCGGAAATTAGGGCTGTCGCGCGCGGCCACTCTGTAAACTCGTGGTTTGAAGCATTCGTATTTTATAAGTCACAAATGATTCAAGCATACTGAAGTTTTTCAAGTCTTTCTCCGCCTTTTGTAATAGAAATATAAAAAGATACATGTGATAAAGCCAATAAAACTAGAAAAAGGTTCGCGGAAAGGAAAGGGAAGGAAGAGGAATGTATTATTGCTCTATCAAAAGTTGGCAAAACGCCGAAACTTCGAACGACAATAGTCCAAAGAACCGCCCGAGAACTTTTGGAATATTCAATGTACGAGGTAAGGTGATTACGGTACGATATTTCACTGTACAGTACAGAAAGAGGCAGATAAGTAATCGCGATCTGACGAGATGGAATGGAAGCATGATATTCAAAGGTTGCGAATTCTCCCCATTAGCCCGCTCCTGGGCCCTAAGACAAGGGAAGTAACGTAAAAGGGCACACCAATATAAGAAGTGGAGATAAGGTCAGTCAACAGGTATACCTCGTCAGCGCTCTTGGGTGAAACCTCTACATTTACTTGATGGTTAAAAGTGGGTTTTGACTGTCGGGATTAGTGTTGGGTGGGACCGAAATGGGTGCAGGCTCCGCTATATGGATTGCGAAGACAGTTGAAAAGCTCCAAAGAGGTGAGACGTATGATCCTCGTGGGGAGTGTGAATGAATGCTTACAGATATGGCGCTTCAACATACGAGGTATCCTGAAATATTCTCTACCAGTTGGGCTACGCACGCTAACGCTTGTCTTACCTACGACTTGTTGGAGGACCACTATAAATAGTATCTGTAGGTGAGATGGCCGTTCAGTGGTAGATTTATTAGATACTGAGCAATACATTGCTTGGCTTATATACGGTAGCAATCATTCCAGATGTTACAGTACTGACAGATGTCGTACAAAAACTAACGTCAGATGCCAGTCTAAGAAGAAGTGACTAATTCTAAATTCCAGCTAAATGGGAAGTTAACTGTATATAGCGTGTTCAAGTAGAAAGTCGTGGTTCACCACGACAGTAGGCTTCCCATTTTATAACTGTCTCCTTACCGCGCTTACGTGAGATTCCCACTCCTCGTCGGCCTACGTGACTTTCGGAAGGACGCACATACCGACCCACAAACAGATACACCAAGTTACCGCTTTATTTAAGGAGAGATTGG